ATCTTGACTTCTCTTACAAAATTTTCTAATGAGATCTGCAATGAACCATATACAACAAGATGGGAGTTACTGTTAGCCATGTTCCATATCCATGCATCTTTTCAACAAGTATGATACAAAAGGGTGATCCTGTTGGCACAAAGAGCCTGATAATGACACCACCATTTTCTCATAAGAGCTGGAGAAATAATTTCAAAGCTTGCATTAGTGGTAGTTTCCATAGGCCTATATGTATATCAATTGTGCCAATTTTAAAAGAACAATTCAGAAGTGGTTTTCATAAGTTTGGTTAGATTGTAATGAATCTGCCCAAGCAGTGAAGTGGTAAAATCTATTTCCTCTGCCCAAAACGTGTTAAAATATCATAAGTTTAGGAATGGAACCGAGAAATAAAATGTTGACTACACTTTGCAGATGTTGCTGTACAATGGCCCTTCTCCTCTTCTTCTTGCCTCACACACGGACATTCCAATAGCATAGACATGGTGACTGATGGATGGGGAAAATAAAATCTTGTACTTCACTCTCAATACATTATCTTTAAAGTTGGCATACACATTAATGCACATAATTGCTGAAGACTTATTAATTATTACAATATATTTTTGCTCCAAATGACTGATGCTTTGGAATCATTTTCCAAAATATCTACTCTAAAATGCAAGATAATTTCTAGTATAACAATGTGATGTGTGTTTTATAGTGATGACATATGTCTTATCTAAAAAACCCATGCCTAAACTACATGGCCTGACATCTTGTTTGTAATATCAATATCATTATAGAAAGACACTATGTTTTAAGAGAAAAGTGCAATAATTTAATATCAATTGTCTCGTCAGTTAAATTGGTGATGTAGACACAAATAATAAACAAAGGTGGTGATCAATATCAAAATAACCTATGTCATATATACACACACATCACACAATACAATAACAAGATATCAAGGCTTGTTAGCTAGACATGGTTACAAATTGTAAACTTGTTCGGACTTAATGCACATTAGAATAATGTATAATAATTGCACATAGTACGTACTTGACAACTTTGCAATGACTTGTGGGGAACGATATTTTCTGTCGGCACTTATTTCTTAAGAGACAACATGTGACTAACTTCTGATCTGTCTGCCACAACAGATGGCAAACAGGGGAAACAGTTCAGCTACAGCTCGTGGATACTTCTTTATACTTCTACATTTTCACATTATAAAACTTGTATTTTACAGTACAAAATAGCTTAGCTGGCCCTGCATTTAGGAAGAAGCATATTTAAAAACCTTTAATATCTATACAATGTTTTAGCTTTAAAACATCACTATGTAACAAAATGTTCAAATTCATCACTTAAAAAACAGAATGACAAAATAATCTCTCCTATGACTTGACACTTCTAAGTTACTTCAATTATATTTACAAATTACACTCCTTTACCAAAATAAAATTGAGTTATAACATACCAGCATAATATAGTTCAGAAGACATTTTAGAACTATGATATTATGTAATTAGGAAAAAAATTAACTAACTTTGTGCAAAATGCAAAGCTAGTTTACAAAAGTTTTCCTCTAGCTTAATGTATCATATGAAGAACACTTGACTGTATCAGTTTTCTTAATGTAAAAAAAATAACTATCAGTTGTTCACAGACTTGTCACTTATGTGAACCATATTACATCACGTGGCATGGAAACTCATGCTCCTCAACGGGATCAGTTGCATTTAACTGGGCAATAATATATAAAATTCTTCAGTGTTGACTTTGTAAGTATTAATATTTCACTTTTCTGACCACAAGAAAATACACATGAGAAAGCATGCAACATTCTGAGAACAGCATACAAATTTTAACAGAATTAAAATGAATGTAAATAAGATTAAATAATGGAGGTCCAATCCTTGAAAAGGGTATTGGTACTTTCCTTCTCATAAATGTTTATAATGTAATGCTTTAAAGGCAGCCAAAGCATTAACACAGTCATAAGGGTAACATTTAAGAGATCAGAAATCAAGGTTTTTATGTATTTGTGAATATCGTGTTAGCATGTTCCTCCAAAATACTACATGGTGCAAGAACCCATAAGAATGCCTTCTTTCTCCAAGACTGACACTTGTTATATTTTTGAAAATGCAGTCATTAAGTCTCTTTCTGAGATCCTACAAAGACAGATGAATGGTATCAAAACATGGTTCATAGTTTACTGGTGCAATTTAAATTGTAAAATACACTACAACAGCTTGGTTTCACAAATCACATTTAATAAAAAAAATAGTACTAAATAAAAGAAACCAGGATAATGGTAAAAATAACATTTTAATGTTAATATGCCACTGAGTTAAAAAGTTTTATGAAGCATGTATCAAATATTGTCAAACACTTTGGCTTTTACAATCTATGTATGATTTATAAATGTAAATTACAACCCGCAATTTAGACTTAGTCTTAAGTTCTTGCAAATATTATGGAGAAACTAATCAACTCTATTCTAAGAGTAAAACTTGCAGTTTCATTTGATTATAGTCTCAGCTTTCACTGGGCATGACAGAAACTTATTTTAAGACTTATTATAAGTACTCTTCATGGAAATCTTTAGTAAAGGGACAAGAAGATTTATATGTACTGAACGTTTTGCTAAAAGGGAATAAATTCTTTGGTGGCAACCTATAAATATATAAAATAATATTTGTTTATAATTTTAAGTGTTCTAATATAAAATAAGGAAACAAACAATTAACACTATAAATGACACTAGTGCGAAACGCGTTTCGACCTCAAGAGGTCATCATCAGTGGCAAAAGGGAATTAATTCATATAATCAAAAATGGTTTTAAAAAAAGATAAATCATGAAGTTGAGTTCTTTTCATAACCATAACAAGCAACACTACACTTAGCTAAGTGCAGAGTGCAACTCCTGTGAAACCAACATCTAGTGTAATTAGTGTTGCTTGTTGTGGTTTTGTAAAGAACTCAACTTCATGATTTATCTTTTTTTAAAACCATTTTTGATTATATGAATTAATTCCCTTTTGCCACTGATGATGACCTCTTGAGGTCAAAACGCGTTTCGCACTAGTGTCATTTATAGTGTTAATAGTTTGTTTGTTTGCTTATTTTATATTCCAATACACTACACAGTATGCAAAGTATTAAGTTTAAGTTTAAGTTGTAGTGATGGCTGTAGTTATCTCCCATCCCTTACTGATCTCAAAGTGTCATTCTACGATGTACATTTGTTTTTATCCCCAATCCTGAGACAGAATACAAATTTATTCTCCTGTCCTTACTGTAGTCAGCATTTCATTGTGTAAATGTGAATACTTTTTCTTTCCTTTCTTATGTTACAATCTTCAAAATGTTAAGGTACATCAGATTGTTATATCAAGATGAGATACCTGTGTCTGTAAACATAATTTACTTTCATAATTTCACACACGTGCCAAGGTAAAACGGGTGTTGTGGTCAGTACTTTCTGAGACATGAGGTTCTCACAGTGGTGAAGATGTCAAGTCTGGTCTTGCGACACTGCGATCTTGTAGGTGGTACCTACATTTCAGAGGAACACACTGCTTTTATCTTCAGCCTGAATATAGAGGTGGTATGTTCCTCTGAAATGGTGGTAACCATCTACAAGACCTCATCATAATGCAAAAGACCACACGAGACACACAGTAATGTGTTTTCAGACATTAGATTTACTTACTTGCATGCACTTTGTGCATAAATTAATTAATATTTCAATGATTCCTTATTAAGTCATGCATAATAACAGATACAGACCAGTAAGAAATTAATTAATATTTCAATGATTCCTTTCATGCATAACAACAGATACAGACCAGTAAACTGCTATAGCAGTCATCACCTAATTACAAGCTTCAAAGCCATGGAAGGACTACACCCCCCCTCCTTGCCATGTGTCTCTAAGGCATCAGTGCAGTGTTGCTAACTTTGCTACACTCCTAGTTCTGAGCTGTCTTCACTCATCTGTTGTATGTGTTGTAACATAGTAAGACTTTTTTGTAACCTTGAAGCACAAAATCTGGTCATATATTAGTAATTGGATCATATACACACATAACTGTAGCTGTGATTATATGCAGAGTAATTACCAATGCAAAAGCCCATACAAACAAATTGAGTTCTCTATCTTAGTTGCCAGAGTCTTCATAAGTTTTAAGTACCATATTATGAATTAAACTTTTTTCTTAATGGGTTCTATTTTAAACCTTGCTAATTTCAGTGATTTTGATTCAGTTTGTGGCCAGGATTTGAATGCAGAAACATTACATTTCCATATTTTATAGTTAAAGTATATGATTTTTAATTTTCATATTTGTATGGCTATTAAGTGACCTTTGTTATCCTTGTAGTTACCTGAATTAAACATCTTCTTTCTATTTTCATATACTAATATAAGAAAAAAGTCACTATAGACCAGATAATATCTCGTGGCCTTGCCAGTTACATGCCTATTTCAAAATAAAAAGAAGTAAACTATTATTACAGGACTATGGACAAAATTTTAAGTTAGAACAAATAAAAAACAATGCATGAATAATTGTCTCGGTATTTTCAAAACTCAAATGTTTTGTTTCCATATGTTTAAAATATCTTAATGTTCCTTTGTTCCAGAACACGGTACTTTACTGCAGCACCCTTGTACATAGTAAACTTTATGCATACTGGCTATGTTTCATAAACGTAACTATAAAATTTATTGAACTTCAGAACAAAACCTTCAGAATTGTGAATCCAAACATTAAGAATTTCCTTCTATACTTTATGTAATGTTAAACTGTCCATAAACATTCTTTAATACAAAAATGATTTTGTATATAATCTGAAGACTAGGGAATTAATTATGAACTCCGTGCTATCTCAAAAAGATAATACGTTGCATGCTTTCTCTGTGCCTGTGATATTTATTACGACTTCATACACTTCAACAGTTAAAATAATCATATTATTTCATAAACTGTGTCTTCTGTGATGAAGATTAAGGAGAAATATCTTCAATAACTTTATAATTTTACTTCCCCAGAGTGATGTTGACTGCTTTGCCTTCTCCATCTTTAAATCAATGCACTGCTTGTAATTTCATGTTGTACTCAAATGTCTGACAATAGGGGACGAATTGTAGGTACCTTCACCTCCAAAGTTGAATCTGCTGGAACGACTCTCAGTGTATATGTGAGGAAGTTTTCACACCATTATCACTTAATGCACATGAGTAACAACAACGCTGTTTTTTCTTTGGTACGAAGCCTGAGTACAAAAAGAAACAATCACTCAATTCCTAAACATCACTCAGTTCATGAACCCATTCACACTTCGTTTTCAGGGAAGTTGTTAAATTGAACTTCTCAGAGATGAAAAAAGTGTCATTTCTCTTCTCCTAGTGAAATTTGTACTGTTTGTAAGAACTACTGACAATCTATCAACTCGGGTATCTGAATAAAGACATAGTTGGCTGGTATGTGGACTTCTTTCAGTCTTGCTGTCAATGTAATTAGCTGCCTGTATTCTGTCTTTTCCAAGTATCCACCCTCACTATTAAAAACCAGAAACGTGCAACCACAACTCTATCAATACCAGAACACCAATATTTCATTTAATGATTTCAATCTTTGTATGTATATTATTTACACATTAGCAAAACTAAGCTGGGCACAGTAATAATATTCATAAATATTTCCTTCACAAGCTTATAAATTGAGAAATAGACTACCTGATGTCTAACTGGATAAAATACATTTTTAAAATAAATCTTTCCAATTCAAAAGGGAACCTCTTTTAAAAATTCACACAAAGAGGCATCTCTTTATAAACAAGCACAGTAAGATGATTTATCTACAGAAGAGCATATTAATATAATGACGAAAATTATAGCTGTTCAGCTGGCACCTTTTCCAATAAGAAAAGCAAAAATCAATGCTGAAATATTCTGAATATACTTACCTGCATCAAGAGAAATGCTTTCTATACCACATTTTAACTACAATCATGATAAACCACCTCATATCTCATAGTCCACTATGAACTAAAGTGATCCTGTACCTTAGTATATGTAATCTGCTTTCATTCTTAATTTTATTTATAACTGCTGGCTAAAAGAAAAAAAATATCATATTTAAAATGCATGTAGCTTTCATAACCACACATTCTAATGATGTCATACTATGTATTTATTGTTTTGTGTTTTATCAATGTGTCAGTATAATAAATATCTTCCACGTTGCCACAGCTTAGAATAATTGTTCAGCACCCACAATGACCCCTTGATATTCCAACCAAAGGACATTCTCACACTTGCCTCTCCTCCAGCAATCCCTTCTTCTCTCCACCACCTAGCCAGTGCTACAATACGCTGGAAGCCAAGCACTGGCCCATGGCCTAACTGTGACCAGATTCTTGGGAGCAAATTCTTTTGCGTGCTAAGTCCTGTATATGTAGCTGCACGGCGGTGGTGGACTACCACCCATTGTCATGGAATGCATAGAGACAAGAGGGGGAGAAGGGGAGGAGGAAGGGGGTGAGGGTGACGACGATGAGCTGGAAGGGGGTGTGGCCGTGGCCAGAGGATGTGAACCACCCAACGTCCCAGCTCCACTCCCTGCCTGCTGTCTGTGCCTCGCCCCCCCGGTGCCTGCCCGGTTTCGTGGTGGGCGTGTCAGGCTACGATGCCCCCTCCCTTCCTCCCCTGCCTCTCAGAGGTACACCTTCTTGGCACTGCGAGCAGTGCCAAAGCCATCGCTGACGATCCCCGAGCCTGGGGGTGCACGGCCACTACGGTATCCATCTCCTTGATGAGAGCGCAGTGTACCAAAGTTGTCACGACCGCGCTGATGTGCATATGGATCCCGAGGTGGAGGCGTGTAATTGTCAGAGAACTGGAATAACGTCTCAGCAGCATGGTTAGCATTATGAGCTTTCCTTAATGTGCTTTTTGGAGAATTAAGCTTGTTGGGACCAGGAGCAGGTACTAAAACAGGCTCTGCATACGTTACCTCCTCCTGGGGTAGAAGCTTAGGCTCAGGAGCTAGGCGGCTGCATGAGAAAACAAGACGAATAAGAATACAGATAACAAGAAGAAATACATACAAAATTGTTTTCCAAAACGTACAACAAACATATTATGTACCAACTTACATTTTTATTCTGTGAAAATCTAAAATGCAGTCTTATTAATATAACTTATAAATATTATGTTTTAAACAAATTTACTTTTCTGGTATCTACTATGTACTTAAATCTTGATTTAGTTTAATATTAACCTTCTTTTATTATAAATATATAAAATAAAAATCTGCACCCACTCACCATTCTTGGTCACCTTCCAATTTTATATGATGCTATGCAATATCTATACAGTAAACTCCTAATTATCTGGGCTAAAGAAGGGGAGAATATACATGAATAATTTTAAAAAAAACCTGAATAATGTAAAATATTTTGTTTGATGCATTCACAAAACATCACTGACTACCTTACATTTTGTTATACAACTGACATTTATTATGAGATAGTGTATAATAGTCCTTGTGAACTGTTTAGACTCCACCTCAGATTAGTAAGAATTTTCCTGGCAGCTGTAATTTCACTGTATTTGTATCCTCTGCGATCCCTGTAGTCTAGTAGTCAACACAGTATACTGTCAAGCTATGACTGACACTCTCACTACTTACTCCTTCTTCACGGTCATCCTCCCACCAGTCCTCTTCTCCCTTTTGTTTTATGGCAGAACTAAAAGTGTCTGTGGTCTAACTAACCCCCTCTCCTCCAAAAGCAGACAGTAGAGTACAAAAAGAGGTCAAAAGCCTAGTTCATACATGTCTGCATTTATGTCACACACTGATAATGCACATACTGGATAATCAGGAGTTCACTATATTTTCAAGTGTTACTGACAACACAAAAACAGAAACACTTGCAAATGTGGGAAGCAGTTGACAAAATCAAGACGTTTATGTGGGGGAAAAAACAACAACTTGCCTGTTAACAGTCTGTCGTTGTTCAAAATATTCATATTCAGTGTCTGGATACGGTAAATTGTCCTCCTCTTCTTTGTGACATTTTCGGCCACACACATACCCTCCGAGGAAGCCTAGAAGAAGGGCAATAAAAGCGCTTGCCACGGCTATTGCAACCACCGTTTCAGTTGAAAACTGTGATACAGGACTGTCTGCTGCACTCACTTCTGGGCCTGAAACATGCAAATTGTCAATTTTATGGAACATGAATTAACATGAAGTTTCAGAGCATTAGATTCATTAGGTTACATTGCTAGATACGACAGTATAATTTTAATACGGTACATGAAGTTATTCTGATATTATTGTCATCATCCAACCAAGAACTATGTATTGTCATGGAATAATCAGCTTTCAGTCATCGCTGTCTTCCATGACAAATTTAAATGGTTGATTTCAGATCATCCTGAAATAGGACCAACATTTTATAGACTAAATAATTGAACTCCCTTACTCAAAGACTGGTCAGAGATAAAGCCCATAGCTGAGGACTGAAGGTATGATTATATGTTGAATGGTTAGGGCCATTACACACCTCATGGGGTGGTGAGAGATCAGTATGCAGCAAAGGTGAAATGATGATTAACAGGAAAAAACTGAAACCCTGCTCCATTGCCACTTTATCCACCAAAAATCTTCCTGAAAGTCACCTGAGACTAAATCCACGTCTACTTGGTGAGAAGCTGGTATCTAGCTACCTGAGCTATGCATGACTAGACTATTTATATTATTTTATAAGAAACAACAGACTTAAGGTACTGTCATGTTCATGAGTATGTCCTCTACTAAAATGTTTGAACTTATGGATTTTAATGGAGCATGGTATGAATATCATACTACTCTGCCTTTGTACTTTTCAATCTTTTATCATCAATAATAATCCTTACCAGAGAAAATTATTCACAGAATGCATCACAAACTTATATAATTATTAATGTATACCTTTTATTAACCTCATTAAGTAGAATGAGGCATTTTAAAGGATGTGAGTTTCTCAAACTCTTTTCAGAACTTCTTGACTTTTGTAGAAAATTTCTGCAAAACATCTTACTCTAACCCGTTTATTAATACACACACAGACACTACTGCAATTTAAATCTAAAAAAAACAGAAAATGAGTTCCCTTGGAATAAACCTGAGATCAGTTTAATGAATTAAGTGGAATTCACAGACACTACTGCAATTTAAATCTAACAAACAGAAAATGAGTTCCCTTAGAATAAACTTGAGATCAGTTTAATGAATTAAGTGTTCAATATATTCATGGAGCAAGAAGGAAATTTATGCAAACTTGGATATGATATATAACTAAGTGATTGTTTGGAACAGTATTTTAGGTTTTCTGGTAACCTTTCTATATACATTTCTTATCCCTCACATGTGTGGTACATGTTCCGTTCATCTCATCACCCTAATTAGATCTGGTAAAGAGTACAAATTTGTATGTTCTTCATTATGCAATTTTCTCTATTTTCCTGCTGTTTCATCTGCCTTGGGTCCACGTATTCTCTAAAGTATGTTACTCTTTTACGATGAATGATCACATTTCACAGCTATACAGAACAAGATGTAGAAGCAAAGTTTTGTAACTTTCAATGTTCTTAAACAACAGGCATTATTACATACAGCAGCCCTCACCACTATGTTCTTCTTGGTCTTGCATTATGTTAATGACTTCTCCACCGAGGACATCCTTGCTCACATGTCCTGTGTCCTGGTTAAAAGTCTTGGGGTAAGTGGAAGAAAGTCCACCTACACTTCCTGCATCCTTTCCTATGAGCTTATCTGCAATCAAGTGGTAAAGTCAGTGATTGTGAATTTTTTTACATTCATAAATTTTATGATGTCAGTCATCCGCCATTATACATATTTTGATCTGCAAAAGTAAAAATTTTGGACACAAAATAATAAAATGAATGGCATTAAATACAGACAACATTGTTGAGCTTACTTGCAGGACAAGCTGAATGGACCCCTGTTGCAATGCTCTGATGAAAGTATTTTTCATCATTCCAACGTGGAGCGCCCACAGCTCTACACTTCTGGTTCTGCTTGTCCCATGCACAGTATGGGTCTTGCAAGGCAACACACTCACTGAACAGAAAATAAGAAAGACAATGACATTTACGCACAAATAACTTCAAACTAATTAATTTAATTCTGATGCTGAATTATGAAGTTCAGCACATACAGGCACAGGCAGGCAGACAGGTCATCAATAACAAATTTATTTTTTACATGTATGCAGGAAAAGACCCATTTTGTTGTTAATGTAAATGAAGCCTCCCACGCTACCAGGAAGATGCATCATTTTTAAGACCTCTTTCTCTTTTCATTTCCTGTGTGGGCCACTATGAGTAAAATATGCTTCTCCTGTCTTCTCATGACACATTACACTAATTATTGAGAGTATCTTGCAAACTGAATTTAAAAGTAACCATAAAACCAAAAAAGAAAAGAAAGCTTATTTTCTGTAATATCTCAGCTTGGAAATAGTTAAGGATAAGTACGGCAGTCTGACAATTAAATGTCCACACTGATCCTTTTGTGCAGCAAATGGCAAACACTGGTGACTTGGTGAATGTCCTGCAAAGTTTACAATATTTTACTTTCTTTTCTATTATCTGGGCAACCAAAGTTTACAATATTTTACTTTCTTTTGTATTTCCTGGGCAATAATGGCTCCTAAATAAAAACAAGCAATGTTAGCAATTGAATGGAATTTAAAAACTGCAAACAAGCAAAAAGATTAAAATGGAACATACATAAATTATCAGTCCATGACCTTATCTGTGGTCATATGAGGAACAAATCCCTTATGAATACAGAAGCATGCCTGTATTTGTCACATATTGCGCTAATTAATGCCACTGACTTAACATATTAAGATTTTGTATTGTGATATAAAGTAACCTGGAACACAAAATGAGAGCAATTCATGATGAATTAAATTAACTACACAAATGAAGAAATGTGGAAATAAAACAGTCTGTTAGAGAGATCTAACTAACTAACTAGATGGCTTACCGAACCCGAAGGTTCATCATCGAATTAACCAAAGCCCTCCACCGGACCCTGTCCTGGGCCAACGTAATCCAGTCTCCTTCGACTCCTATCTCCCATAGATCCCGCCTGATATTATCTTTCCATCTACGTCTAGGTCTCCCCAGCAGTCTCTCCCCCTCAGGCTTCCCAACCAATACCTGGTGCACACCTCTTTTCCCATCCATGCGCGCTACATGCCCCGCCCATCTCATTCTTCTTGACTTAATCACTCTGACAATACTGGGGGAGGAGTAGAGATGTCTTGATTTAGGGTAACATCAACATTAATAAATATTAAATGAAATAAGATTATCATAAATGGTGAGTAAGTAAATATCTAGAAGGAATTGGTTTGGGCCTACATGAAGATACAATACCTGTGTTAACACGAAGAGATCAAAGATATCAATGAAAACTGTCATGATAGATAAAACCCAAAAGAAGGTCCAAACTGGATACCTGTCAAATACAAATTTAGAGCATTACTTATATTACGCCAAGGTTAAGAATGAGTAGGAACTATACCTTCTCTCCCTCAAAGTGCCAACATAGCATACAGTGGGACAGCTTTACTTTACTTTTACAATTTTGTCAAAAAATACACTTTAAACAGAAAAAAAGCAAGAGACTTATGTAATGTGTAGCCTGAAATTGTCTTCATGCTCTGCTCATATGTTCCTGTTGAAGTCAGTGATAATGTACCTGCAAGACAGTATCTTGTCACTGTAGCATCGGTGTAAACGCAAGGCTTGCACCTCACCATCAGCAACCACCACTAGGCGACCCTCTGGCAAATTGGCATCTCTTATAACCTTCAAATTACGCACAGCTACTTGGGATGGGAACACTTGAATTTCTTCAATAACCACTGGGCTAACTTGTTCCATTGTGTCAGCAGAACCGGCATTTACTGCCTTGATCACTTTACCATTGTCTAGAAAGGAAGAATGCAGTAATTTATTTAGTACTGACTAGCAACTTTGGCAAACGTACAGCAAAAACATAAGATAATATAGTAGAATCCCAACTGTCTGACCTTCAGTAATCCAGCATTCCAATCTATCCAATATGCTGTGAGTCATAGTGAAAGATTAAATTCTATCGAAACCGCACTTGCTTACATCGAACAACAAAGGAGGGCAACCATAACAGATGTACTACTGTTTAGGCACTGGCATGTCCTTACACCAAAGAAAAGGAAGGAGGCTCAGAAGCAAATACTGATTATTAATTTCTCAAAAATTTAATTCTTTCATTCACAAATGTTACATGTTATGTTAAATGCTATTTTTGTTTGTAAGATTTTTTCATTTGATGCCACTGTATTTTATTCATAACTTAGTAGCAGTGTAAACTGAGTTATGAACTGATATGATACTTACAATTGTCTTTTTTATTAGTTTCACATATTATCCGATACTTTCGATTATATGACCATCCTTGGTCCATTTAGGTCAGAAGTTGCAGTATTAAAAGCATAAACCTCACACAGTACAGAATACACAAATGTTTCAATTATTCTGTTTGTAGAATAATATACTTTTTAAAACTTCCATTACTTCAAGGTACAGAGAATTATAAATATGGGGTTTGTAAGTGGATACCAACATTTTGGAGAAACAGTGTCTCCATCTTCAGTTCTGATTCAGCCATGAAGATGGTCACTGTATGTCTAAGCCCTTCTAATCCATTGAGCATTACAAATAAAAAGACTAAAATCAACATCTTCACTGCCACATGAACCTCATAGCTCAGGTAAATAGTCTGTTCATAGGAATGTGAAGGTTTATTACCATTTTCATGTTCACAGAGGTCTGCCATTAGACCTCACCCAGAGTCAGCTCCAACTTATACCAAACTTTCACATACTCTTTCTCTTAAAGATAAATTTTATATTATTTTCCCACCTACCACTAGGCCTCTTCTTCACTTCACTTCTGAATCCCTAGCCAAAATTTTATATACATTTCTCACTTCCTCCCCGCATGATACATGTCCCACCTATCCAACCATAACGATCTTACATAAAGTGTACAAATGATAAAGCTTCTCATTATGTAATTTTCTCCAACTTTCTGTTACTTCCTCTCTCTTCTTCTTCTATGGCTCTCCGGTCCGTATTCGGTCCACGGCCTCCTCAATTCTCCTCTTCTATTCGGTCCTCTGTTAGGTCCGTCTGTCCGAGGCTTTGATTGAGGTTTCGAAACATCTTCCTTTTTACGGTGCAAGGTTGTTAACCTTGCGACCAACCCCCAACCTGGAGGACCAGGGTCTCCTCTCTCTTTGGTGAAAAAATAATAAGCTCTTCACTTTATCCTCAAGTCCATACAAAACAAGAGGTAAAATTATAGTCTTATATCTTTCAATACGTACATTTACAGTGTTATGTAGTGTGTTGTGGCTTGTTGCCACTGTATTTGGAGTCTTGTCGACAGTGGGACCTTAGACGTCTCTAATAACGCATCCACATACAAGCAGAAGATGCATGTTACATGAAAATTTCTTCTCATTTTTATTGTTCTCCACCAATTATGCTCAAGTCTGTTATGACTTCACAGCCTTTTTCAATGGTCTTCCTATATCTCTATATTCCTCTGATTTTTAAATAAAGTAAAAATTTTGGGAGTCTCTCACAGATGTCCATTCAGTTCTCTGCGACTAAATATTCCTCTGCTTGCTGAATAAATATTTAGATTCTTACATTTTATTTTAAGTTTATTATGTCTGATACATCTACTGACATATAAACCTTTCATTTTTGCTGCTAAGATTTTACCAACATCTTTGTTTTTCTTGACCAAAGTTGAATATTCATATAGGAGTATGATAACTGCCAACACTAAAAAAAAATTATTATTTTGTCTCCTTCCTTGATTGTTTTAATGTTATGCGTGTCATCCCACATATTCCATGTAAACTTACCTGTTCCTATAAACAGCACATCATATGCTTTGCCACCGGGAGTCTTAATCTGTGGATCGACAGCAATCTGAGTAAAGCGGTAACTGAAATTTAAAATAAAGAAGGTTTACTTTGTGACTCTAAGAACCAATTATGCATAAATTCTACTAAGCTGCTTTGTACTAAAGGCTGTTCCATTTAAATTATAACCTAACTACTACAAATAAACTTTTTCCTGCATGAAATAATAATAACAATGGCAATATTGAATTCTTGCAGTCATAACACATTGTCGCAGCTGATGAACTCCTTGAAACTGGTATGGCTGTAATTTCTGATATTTTATCACTTGATGGGCATTTGACACAATAATTAAATAATTTATAAAGAAGAGAATAAATAAAAAATGTGACACACAACTTGGCCAGTAATTTTATTGTTGTTGCCCTGAAATTGAAATAATTTTTACTATAAATTGTTTTATATTTATATTACTGAGTTCTATATTAGTTTTAATGTGTGTACTGGGACAAAGTATTCATATTAACTACGTTAGCTCTGCTAGCACTTTGACAAAAAATAAAAAAGTTTTCCTTCCATAGTTCAATGGTAGTTTATACACTGGAACACATAAAAACTGATCGGACAACATGTATTGTTAGCTGGCTCGTCAGCCATGCAATATGGAATAGGCATGAGTGGAAGGGACTGCATGACATACACAGCTCTCATGTTAGCCAGTCTTGGAACGTTAACAGTCGCTTATATGCTGGTATTTAACACACACTGCTGTATCATATTTTTCATGTTGCGAGTTGCGATCGTATCACGGAAGATGAAGTACAGTGTATATAATCAACTGCTGAACTTTTCATGATACCTCACATGCATATAATTCAACCAAATGGCTAACAATATCTGGCTGGTTGAAGCTGTATAACGATGCATTTTATCTGGCTGGTTCTTATGTGTTCCAGAATATGGAGAACGTCTGAACAACAAAAGTAAGACTTCTTATTTTTCACTTTTCAAAGTGTTATCCAACAAGTAAGCTGCCTTCTATTATCAGTAATAAGACCATCAACAGTGGCGCCATTCACACATGATGGTGAGTCGAAGAACCGCAAAGTGCCAGTTTTAAACATGACGCAGAGACAAATACCACTGAAAAAATCACCAGGGTAAAATATGATTTTAGGTTCTTTCGAATTTTGGGATGCCAGATACGGGGTTTGGCACTGTATGTATCTGCAGTGCCAAGACCACTCAGGACAGTAAAAGAGTATGGACTAGATGGCAAGGATTCAATCCCCACCATACCTAGACGGGCTCTGAGTCACACCCAGCCTCCTGTCTCATGGGTGTTCTTTTCCCTGAGGTAAAGTGGTTGGATCATGAAGCTGACCACTCATATCTGTCTGGTGCCAAGTTTAATGACTTCAGCTACACAGTGATGCTCCCATGCATCCTCATTACATGGTGATTAAGTAAGCACAGGGACAACTATACATATTTAAACATGCGTACAATATGTCATGACTTTATCATTAACTTAACTTACTGAAAACTGGTGCGGATGACAATCGGCTGATGGAAAAATGAAGGCACAGATTCATCCATCAATGAATGTGTCTTGATGAAATTAAGAGTGAGATCTGGCAGAGTCCGAGAATCATTGACACACTGTCCTGGCCTGGGATCAGGAACCTACATAACAAGAAAACTTATTAAAATATAACAGAACAATCATTCTCAGTACTGATTTGAGACTGGTTTTATTCAGAATGATGTATATTAATAACTGAATTACAAATATACAGTTAAAGAAGATGTGGTAAACAGGAAGACAGAAGAATAGATAAGAGTGACTTATTGATGTAAAAATATTGAAGTATGAAAGGTCCAATCATATAACACAGTGGTTCGCAACCTTTTCTATTTCGCGGGTTTTCCAAGGAACACAATACAGCGCAAATAACTATTTACAAATGTACCTGTTATTAACATATCTAAACATGTTAATTTATGATACAGTAATTAGTATCTCTATCAGTATTAAAATCAAAGGGACATATGGAATAACTTGTCAGGCATTTGTGTCTTCTAAGGATCTGGAGTTTGTAACAAAGACTCAGCTTTTGTAGTTTCACTGACTCCCTCCAGGTGAATGTAAGGATTGGGGTCATACCTTCAAAGTGGATATAATAACGCCCTCTTATATTATTTTGAAGTACTACACTGGAAATACACCTGGGGAAACTGAGGAAAGCCACAAAAACTCAGTCAAGATGGGTAATAACATATAAGATTTGAACTAGGTACTTTTTCAATACAAGTTCAGAACATCACTATTCCTACACCAGCCTGCGCTTTAACGTTATTACAGAATCAATCACATATCCTGAGACATTTTCACTGTCTACTTTCACACATGATTACCTCATCAGATTCATCTTTTCCTATCAATCAATATTTTTGCAGATACAATGAATAGGAAATAAACGAATTTAAAGCAAACAGAAAAATATCACAAAGGACTTGAAAAGTATGTGGTATTTCTGCTACTACCTTGGCACTCTGGACTGGCAACCAATTGGAATTTAGTTGTGCTTGTTCCTTGAAGTTGCCCTCAAATGTGTCTGTAATGTCCTGAAGTGCAAATGCACAGACTGCTGAGCCACTGATGCTGTTGGGAGGCGTCGTAAACACCCCATAGATGAGCTGAGCTCTCACGGACCCATACATACCCTCAATCAGTTCAGTAGTTGATTCTGCAAGAAAGAGACAAAACTTCTTTATAATTCACGCTATAACTAATTCTATGATAGTAGACTCAAAGGTTAAACACTGCTAATACCAAATTAAGTCACTGGACATGATCCTGAGCCAGTTCCATCAACTTACACCCTCATATCTTCTCCCTTAAGACACATTTTTTAATATCATCATGCTTTTCCATTCCAATACTGAGATTGTTTTAGGAGAAATGGTTATATTGTCATTCAACTACATATTTACCTTGCCAAATATTTTCCTTTGAATAATAAGGCCTTTTTACAACTTTAATAATTTGAATTACATGGAAGACAAGTTTCTCCTACTGTTCCCCTCATCTCAGACGATTTTGAAAGTAAGGTGGTTTCAGAGCACTGTTAAAGATGTATCATGCATATGTACAATGCACACAGTCAACATTTGTGAATGAAATAATGGCTGGGAATAAGATGACACATTACAAAATTTATAAGTCAGTAGACAAAATAAAAAAGTGTGGTTAAGGTTCTTGATCTTGCCTGTTGTTTTGTATGGGTGCGAAACATGGTCTCTCACTCAGAGGGAGGAACACAGATTGCAGGTGTTTGAGAATAGGGTGTTGAGGAGGATATTTGGGCCTAAGAGGGAAGACGATGGGGCATGGAGAAAACTGCATAATGATGAGCTTAAAAATCAGCAGTCCTCCCCTCCCCCAGTATTGTCAGGGTGATTAAGTCAAGAAGAATGAGATGGGCGGGGCATGTAGCGCGCATGGATCGGACAAGAGGTGTGCACCGGGTATTGGTTGGGAAGCCTGAGGGGAAGAGACCGCTGGGGAGACCTAGACGTAGATGGGAGGATAATCTCAGGCGGGATCTATGGGAGATAGGAGTTGAAGGAGACTGGATTTTGTTGGCCCAGGACAGGGTCCGGTGGAGAGCTTTGGTTAATTCGGTGATGAACCTTTGGGTTCGGTAAGCCATCTAGTTAGTTAGTTAGTTAGTTAGGTTAAGGTTCTTGTTTTCAAGATGGGCTTTCTTCCTTATCGCGTCTGATCAACACCAGACACATATACATTCTCATCAGTTCCATTCTCTGAAGTAATACCATACTAAATCATTGTTTGTAATTAATTTATAAACTTTGTTGTTGTCTGCTAACCGAAAAGTAGTCATTTAGTAAACATAACTGACTGACCACAGCATTTGAAACATGAGGTATAATGTAATGTTGCCAGATATGGTACCAAGGCAGCAAGGCAACAAGGCCCAGGCTCTAATCCACAGCAAATGGAAACATACTCATCCCACAATTTCCAATTCATTGTGTTTTTCAATTGTCCAATAACTTTTTATGTCTTGTAGACATTCGGAAATTGGTGTTATTAATGCAGTAAGTGTAGTTTAGTTTCTTTAATGTCTGTTCATTAATGTTTGCTGTTGCCTCAGTATGTAGAAGGTACTTTTGGCAATGTAAATCTGGCAATATGGGGAAATCAGTCCACGCTTCATCTGCTGTCCATGGCTTTAACTAATTAACCAACCAACTAATGCACCAAACAACTAACTACTTAACTACATAATTATCACAATACAACAGAGTAATTCCTGTGATTATAACAGCTGTTTAAGTTTGTTAAGAAATTTTCTACCTTTTATGCCACCCAAAAATGCATTACCATGTTCATAAGAACCTGCCACTCATCACTAAACAAAGTCAGATGAATCCAGTTCACATCATTTAACTTTAAGATCTCTTATAATACTGTCCTCCCACCTATGCTACCAGGATCTTTGAAGTGGTCCCCTTACGTTTAACGGCTAAAATTTGATATGCCTCTCATTTCTCCCATACATGCTACATGCCTCACTGATCTCATTCTCCTGATTTGATCATCCTAACAAAAGCTCGGTGCAGAACAGAAATCATCAAGCTCTCCACTACAAATTAAGTTATGGGGTTAAAACTGGTCTTTCGAGCACATTCATGGATGTCTAAGATCCTTCAAATTGACACTCATGAGATATTCTTTGAACGGAGAAATTTTTTACCTTCTTTCAAATGAAAGAGAACCACAAATCTCAGATTTGTGTGACTTACTTCCCAACCACGATTCATTAAGACTGGTCCTTTAAGCTGCAGAAGTATGAAACAGTAAAATGAAAGGTGCTTGGAAGGCTTGCAAAGCATTTATATGAGGTGAACTATTCCATCACGCAATTCTACTACAAAAAGCCAGGTGAATGTACTTTTTATTTACTTTCTAATTACATTTTTGTACAACCCTGTAAAGAAACAGTAGTGAGGTTATAAATTAGCTGCTAATTGAAGTAGGATTCTACAGCAATCTAATTTTCTCTTTGTAATGCTTATAATATTAGAAGCTCAGATGGTTAATCAATTCTATAACTTTGTGACTAGAAAGCTAAAGTTTTTCCTGGTTGAATTTAAATACGTAGTACCGATGCTGTGAAATGGTTTCTTAATTACAAAGTCTCTAAAATAATGAAGTGAGAGAAACCAATTACTGTTGAATAACAGGGTCTGGCAACTTAATTTCTGCTGAACAAACAGTTATATCTCCTATTGTATTATTATATTACAGTCAAAGCAATTACTTGGTTGAATAATGAGGAAGAGCAAAGCACATTTCTGTCCCAGTGTCTTGTACAGACAAAACATTCTATGTAGATTCCTTAATTCTGAAACAATAAATTTCAAGCAAATATCAATTAACATTAGCAATAATACCAATATCTGGTACTCAATTGACTTGTTACACCATACTCTGAAAATATGGGCTTGAAACTTATTAACCGTTACATCTCATGCATGGAAAAATACTGTCCCGTACTGTACTTGAAGGTTAGGTTGGTGGTTAGCAGGATTCACGACCCATCGGTATATGGGTTCAATCAGGACCGCGACATTTAATGCTCCTGCTGTGACCACCTGGAGTAATTTTTGGGATGCCATGGAGAAACCATTACACAAGTTGTAAATCTGAGCACCGCCGGGAATCGAACCCGGGACCCCAGGATTACAAGGCCAGTGTTATAACTGCTAGACCACCGTGGTGGTTATTCATCATTACACCATGGTTAGGAAGGGACAAAATGTACATATATAAATTCAGTGCTGTGAAAGAGACACCTCGTTAATGAGCACTGGTTATCTCCGCTCTTATATTCTTTGACAAAATAAAATCTTTTGATATCTCTCGACTCTTCAAACAAATAATCTTTGGCAGGCATGTCAAATTTGAAGCCCTCTTCCACGTTTTATGTGGCCCAACTCAATTCTTCAATTATACATGATACGCAGCCCAAAATGTCCCAATTTTAAGAAATTTTAAGTTTTAAATGCACATCGAATAACCACTTTCATACCGCTGTTTTATATTTTAATTCAATAAAGTGGAAATGCATTTTAATTAAATTCACATCTGTGTGTGATCGTGGGAAGATACAAGAATGAAAATTGTATCCTAAGCCTAAGTTTAGGGAATTAGTAAAAATGGGCAGTAGCGATTTTCTCCATATGTGATAGCCGCTGGAAGAGCCATTTTTTTTTAAGCATCCCTCATTAGACAATGAATCTAACTTGCCTGATTTATGACTCTTATTAATGGAAAGTAAAGGTTACCTTAGAAGAGAGAAACAAAAGAAGGCATTTATTTCCTAAATTAAACTATACATTGAAGGGGTTAATCTAATAATATATTGAAAGTCTGCTGCAACGGTTGATTCATTACACTACAATTTTTTGGACAATGTCCATTGTATAATCTATACTTAATGTACACAACATTTTGTGGTATTAGATAGACTCATGATCCATTACTCTACAAAAATTTTGCACACATAGGTCCAAATGTTTGTTGCTTTGTTGTGATATGATACTATAACTTATTGCCTGCTGTTAGGTGATCGCTGCCTTGGATGGGTCCTCAAATTGTCGTAAATAATTTCTAACAAATCCAACTTACCTGCTTCAATAGCAATTTTGACTAGTTAACAATAATATTAAAAAGCACTGTCATCATATCACATTGCGATTTCTTAAAAAAACAATTTTTTTCTCAATGTAATATGTAAGGAATACGTAAAACCAGTGAGGAAGCATAGTACTTCCAGGCTTTGTAGAAGAAATGGCTATGATAATAGCAGAAGATTAAAAACTTTACAGTAACAGGATTTTTGTTAAGAACCAAGATCAATCACAATTAGATGACAAACAAGATCGTTTACATCAACAAAAAACAATAATAATTTACTAATAATGCACGCGAACGACAGATGCCTACGGAGAGGGGGGGGGGGAGCTGGTTAAAATATTAAAGCAGACAAGTAGATGGAAAGGAGTAATTAAATAAACACTGAATTGAAAGAAGTGCAGCTTTTATAACTCGGAAAATGATTAATTGAATACTGAAACGTAGACAGAGTCACTCTTTTGAACCGTCGACGGAATCTACGATGCGTGAGCTGTACAGTGGTGCCATAATGCTGAATCCACTACCTTGCATACAAAATAAAGTGTTCTGTATTCTGCAACAAACCAGTAGGATCTGTGCGAGAATCTCCTTGGTATTGTGAGGACTAAAGGCAGGTTTCCACAAAATTCCAGGCAAAATTCTTTTAGAACACATGCCACTTGCAGCCATTAAATAACCAAGTCCCTCCTACTTTAATTCAATCCTCTCTTCAGATGGCAGGCCTGCAGCTCGTTATAACGAATGAAGCTCCGGAAATCGAGCAATGGCAGTATAACCATTACATCTTATGTGGAAGAAATATCACTGTCCAATTGAGGAAATATAGTTATCGTGATATAACCAGAAGAATTTGCTATTACCCAACATAAGATACTGATACAAGGTGGAGTAATCGTTCCATCCAGTGTGGAGAAAATGCCACTATTTAGCTGAAGAAACTGAGACAAACTGGTATAAATGTACATGTACTGTAGAGTGTAATATGTCATTAAAGATCGCTCGAGTAGTCGTGGCACGTAAGTGCACGATGTTTAAGCCGAGAGAGGGGAGTTCAGTAGTAGTCGGGGGGTCGCACAGCTCCAGCTGCGGTGATGCATCGTTCTGAACACTTCTAGAGCTACAAACCAACTGAAGCTGACACCCCTCTGGGACGTGCTTCGGACGGGTCCATCTCATACGACCAAAACCAGTCCTTTGCGCAAGTGCCAGCACTTCTAACGCACCCTATGCCTAATTGAAGAAACGAAATAATGACGGCATAATCATTACATCTCCAGTGAAGAAAATGCCATTACAAAAAACTGAAGTTAAGTGAGGGCCCTAAGTTTAGTCTAAGTATTGATTTGATTTGGTAATCATGGCGAATTGCCGTACTGTTAGGTCGATTTTAAACCCACTGTTCAATCATTATCGTAAGGAGACAGCCACAACGGTCTAAATATTACATCTGATCTCAATTAACAGCAAGAATGGTGGCAACTTTTAAATTGCGATTTAACACTTACGGCAGTTACATTGATGAGATCGACGTTAAAAATGTACCTCCGCATCCTAAACTGTCGAAGTTATGTATTTCTCTACACAAATGCCTCCTGGTGGTGGGGACGAAACAGCAACTCAGTCTTTTCGAGAAACAAACGATTCACTCCCGAATTATCAGTCAAGAAATTCAGTACAAATAAAATGAAAAATAAATAAGAATTCCATAATGCACAAGGTACAAAACTGCATATCGGGGCAATGAAGAAGGAAAATAGTAAGAAACAAAAGTCAGAAAAGGAAAAAAAAATTCGTAAGAAGAATAATACAGATAGAAGTGGGGAAAGATTAGGAGGGAGCGAAGGAAAGAAGAAAATCAGGAATGACAAGAGGCAGGAGAAGGGTAAAGAACAACATATGCAGTGTATGTAGTTTAGAAAACCACCATGTTTGTAAGGAACCTACTGCCCCCATCTTCGGGGCTGTATCACAAAACTGACTTCTTCTCCAAGACCTGAGTCTGAAAAGGATATGTTTGGGTTTTTGTAAAATAGCACCAAAATAATTAAAACGTTTTTCTTTTAGGGATGGCCACACTTACGTATCTCGTTGAAGTAGAAGGGGAAGTCCCCTGTCACCGAGCAGTTGAGGCGAGACTTTAGGAAGGACGTCCAGCGGTTTCGGAAGCGGTGAGGTCCTCCACGGTCGTGCTTGCAGACACGGGCCACGCGGGAATACACAGCCTGCGAACAATAGTCGCACAGATCAAGCAAGTTATTCTATGCCAGCAAACAAACATGTTACAACGGTCTTATGACACAACACGGGGCATCACACACTGCAAATTCTAAATCAGTCATTCTTATGTCATTTCAGGGATCAAGTTACAATGAATCATCACTTATCATTTTCACAAAAATAAATCAGGCAACTGCTGTCGCTATTTTCAATTTCCTTAACAGAAAGAACGCCTTAAATGACGTACAATTTTCTGCTCCCATCACATAAGTTCGCGCAACGGCCATGTTGATCACATGAAGCTTAAGAAAAAGTACCAAAATAAGAATGCATTCAGTGACACAATGCCATGACTTGTTTCACAAAAATCGATCAGTTAGTATCTATGGCATCTACGTAAGATGTGAGAATATAGAATGAATCTTCTAGCTCAGGATAGGGTATAGAGGCAGGAACTTATGAACACGGTAAATGAACACGTTAAGGCTCCATAAAATATGAAGAATGTCTTGATTATTTCAGCATACTGTCTAGTGGCGGGCGCTTGTGAATAGGTAATGAAGCTTCGAGCACCATAAAGAGTGAGAAATTTCTCAACTAATTTGGCAATTACAAGTTCCTCAAGTACGGCTAAGTACGATGGATTGTTGATTTTTACTTTGTCACACCCTTTTTATCTTTCACGATCATTCCGCCATGCAAGGCAGTTTAACGTCGGTAGTTGCCAAATCGTCGTTACATAAACCAACTAAAAACATATGTTTCGCTGGAGGGGGGGGGGATTTAAAAGATATGACGATTCTCACTGTTGTCGAGTTTCATAGCTGCCAGTCTATTGGTTAAACGTTCAACACTGAATACAGTCGATTCAACTCGAGAACCACTGGGCAGATATCGATGAAATTTGATATGTAAGTTGTGGTATTCTGTACGACCTCACAATCGTATTTTGAATATCCTATGAGTGATGGTAATACAATTACAGACGATGAAATTCGAGAGGTACACAATGTGGTGCTGCGGTCTGGTAGTCAAAGTGGGAACTATTGAACATGACTGATTTAATAAATATACACGTTGCAAGGAACGTATGAGGATATTATATGTACTGAAGTACGGAACACACTTTCCTAGCTTGTTACATCAAGGCAGTATTGGACCTGCGCGAAATCTAGAACGTGTAAGAGGAAAGGACCGAAATGAAGACATCTGTGATGTCGTTAGGTGAAGGCATTTTACGATTTGTGTTTATGTCAACACACCGAACTCTCCAAGCTCGATCTTTCTCTGTTAACAAAATCACGGACACAGCCCGTGACAGAGAAGTCTGCGAGAGTGGATTCGGCCAACTCTCTTGAGCAGACAAACTCTAAACGCTCCATAAAATACTTGGACTATACGGTCATATACGCGTCGTTATTTAACGACACATCCCAGTGTTTACATTAAATATGATCGAATTATAGAGTAATTAGTGAATAATGAATTGGAACGGCTAGGGAAGGAAGCATCCTGACCTAATGTAAGACACTATCCCAGAATTTGCTTGGAGAGACTGAGGAATGCCACGAGAAATTTCAAATCAGGATAGCTGGTCTCCGGGCCACAAATTGAATCCGGACCTCCAAAATACGAAAAAAGTGTATGAAACATTTAAATTTATTTAATTTATTAATTCTTCCAGCCCCAGTAATCCTGCCATACGCAACCCAGCGGCCACGGCTAAAATATCATAGTAGTAATTAGATACCATTTTCTTTATTTGGGGAAAGTTCTTACATCAAACAAACGTAGACCTCTAGATCCTCAGGAACACCGTCTTCAATCGAGAGAATTGTCTTCTTCCTGACATAATTCATTACTACTACACCCGGTAAGACTCTTAACAGTGGTAATACAGGATTTTACGTACAAACCATGTTATTTTTTTTCCTTCCCACTCCAAAACCTTGAATTATATATATAATTCACATACTTCCCACGTTCAA